AGCCCTCGTGTAGCTTTGCGCGAAATTCCAAAACAAACAAACACTCATGGCAAAATAAGACAAAATAGAGAATAAAAACGAAAAGTTCACAAATGTGTCTTGAAAAACAAAATAAACAACAGCGAATCATACTTTCTTCGGAACATAAAAAAAAATGTTTTCCAGTATTTATCAACTTTTACATAATACTAAAATCTAAAAGGTTATCCGTTTCTACATTTTTTTATACGTACCATCAAGCGTAGTGTAATGATTGCATAGCGAGCAAACCTTAGAGTTTTTCTTATTATTATTTGCTGATTTCACCTACAAAAGTTAGATTCCCCCCCCCCCCCCAAATTAACGGCACCTTGTACGCGCTTGTACCAAATGGCCGCCCTCCCCCGGAGGTTCATCAGAAATTTCACGGACTAAACAAATACTAAAACCTGGGATTCGATTCACCGTGTGGACTAAGCGTTGATAGTTTTGTGATAAAATAGCAAGACTAAACTGCTAGACCAGAGACGTTAATTAAAGTTTAATCATAGGCATCCTTAATTTTGAACTATTGACCAAAGAGCTTCCAACGAGTCGTCAACATCAGCTTAGTAGCGGAATTGGATTTCACATTTCTAACGCTCCCACAGGTGAAATTGCAGTGGGTGTTCAGAGGCACAACATCTCGAACCCCGGACCCTTCGATCCACAGTCCGATAAGTTAACACTAGGCTGCGCCCTGTCTTTCATTTACAAAAGAAGTAGATTTTTTTCGTATTTTGCAATAAAGTAATAACAATAACTAAAACCGTCCAAAATAACTTGGTAAATATAAAATACCAACCAAAATAACTTGGTAAATATAAAATACCAGCTAGAAAAATCGAAATTTACAAACTCTATACAGAATGCACTTATCGGTTATCAAAAGTATCCCTGAAGCAAATACTGATTTACTTTCTAAAAAAATTAACTTTATTTTATATTTTTGTCTTTTACTAAACATTTTTATTGCCTCTTCTATATTTGCAATCTGAGGGTCGCGGGTTCGAATCCCCGTCCCACCAAACATGCTCGCCCTTTCAGCCGTGAGGGCGTTATAATGTGACAGTCAATCCCACTATTCGTTGGTAAAAGAGTAGCCCAAGAGTTGGCGGTGGGTGGTGATGACTAGCTGCCTTCCCTCTAGTCTTACACTGTATCTGCGGACTTACAACGCTAGAATCCGGGTTTCGATACCCGTGGTGGGCAGAGCACAGATAGCCCTTGTGTAGCTTTGTGCATAATTAAAAACAAACAAACAAACAAACTTACACTGTAAATTAGGGACGGCTAGCGCAGATAGCCCTCGTGCAGCTTTGCTCGAAATTCAAAAACAAACAAACAAACATTCTTGTAAGAATGAGTAAATAATGTCTGTCAGATAGAAACGTTTACAGTTTCAAAAAAAAAAGGTTACCAAAGTTCCCTCCCCCCAAATAAAAAATAGATCTTGCGTGTCAATAACCACAAATACATTTCATCTTTATGGAGCTCATAGCCAACGTTTTTAGATTAAACAGCAATGAATTTATGCGAAGAAAACCATAAAACTAGATGGCAACACCAAAATAAATGCCCCCCAATGGCACAGCGGCATGTCTGCGGACTTACAACGCTAGAATCCGGGTTCCGATACCCGTGGTGGGCAGAGCACAGATAGCCCATTGTGTAGCTTTGTGCTTAATTACAAACACCAGAACAACAAGCAAGATAAATCTCATTTTATATAAAAGAAAAATTGCATTTAAAATTGCGTTCTCTGGTGGAAATAAATATTCAAAGGTTACATTTAATCCGATAAGAATTAAATAGCATTGTCGTGTTGAATATTCAAAGGTTACCTTTGATCCGACAAAAATAAAAATTAAAAACATGTTCGTGTTAAAGTCAACGAAAAAGAAAGTTCTTCAAATTAAAGAGATCACTTTATCAAACAAGAGGTGCTTGTAGTTACGGTTTCTGGCATCGATTAGAAGTCCTACAAGGACATTTAAAATGTTCAATTCTTTCTTTTTTTCATCTGTTACAAAAACAATTTTACGTCATACCACTTCGTAGATATCACGCTATATGTATCTCAAAGAAATCGGAAAGAAAAAAAAACGCTAAGAGCGTGCGGCATTTGTTTCAAAAAGACATTTCCCGCAGCCCCGGGCTGGGCGTGGCTTAACGATTAACGTATCAGACTGTGAATCCTCAGTCAAATCAGTCATATCCCATTATTTGATTAGAGTAGCCAAATAACTCTTAGTGGGTGCTGTTCACTAAATGACTTCTCTCTAATCTATTAATTTAAAAGTAGAAGGCCCTTGTATAGTTTTACATAATTATCCGAAATATAGTACTTCACAGGTCTAAACACAGAAAGAAAAAATTATGGAATCCTAAACATATGTCCCCCTTAAGTACAATTACGCCACTTACGCAAAAATATAGTAAAAATTAAAGGAAACAAATGGAAGTTCGCGGAAGAAAAGTTGCCATAAATCAGGAAATTTCAACACAAAGCTGCCAGAAATCAGGAAGTTTTAACCCAAAGTTGCCAGAAATCAGGAAATTTTAACACAAAGCTGCCAGAAATCAGGAAATTTCAAAACAAAGCTGTCAGAAATCAGGAAGTTTCAACACAAAGCTGCCAGAAATCAGGAAGTTTTAACCCAAAGTAGCCAGAAATCTGGAAGTTTCAACACAAAGCTTCCAGAAATCGGGAAATTTCAAACCAAAGCTAACGTTGCTTCTGTGTCTTCCCAGTTACTAAAGGATTTATTGTTGCTCCTATTAAAAGCAAACCTATTGATTCATAATCTATCATATTTTGTAAAATACTAAATAATTGTATGTTGTTGTCAGCAGGATCCTCATATGTTTACAAAACTGCACCACAAGTAGACAGGTAGCTGGATAGCATATTAAAAATTCGTAAATAATAAAATTTCTTGGATATCAATGAACAATAATATCCTATATTACTTGTCAAATCGTTCTTTGTAAGATCATGCAAAAATAAGTGTAATAATTATAGTGATACTTACTTGTATGGTGGGTATTTTTCACGGTGAATTCTCCATACATTCTTAATCTAGATGAAGGCCTGGAGGCCAATGATGGAATCTTACACACACTGCACACACAAGAACGAGCCTTTGTATCAACCAAGTCCGATTTAGTTTCTGAGGGCACAAAAATAAACAAACTATTACACGTACGCGTTGTAATTATATGCAATTAGAGAAAAAATATAATTATTGGTATCGAATTTTTAGAACTTTGAAATATTTTTAATTATCTTAATTCATAATTTTTGTTAAGATTACAGTATGAGTTCGTGAGTATATATTAACTATTGTCTTGAAAAAATGTAATATAATTGTGTTCAAAGTGTTTGCAATAATACTTAAGCAAAAAATCTCAGTTGTTTTCACTTGTAAACATGTTTTTATACTCAAGTGTATAAAATTTTTATATCATGTCTTTTTTATCCTTTTTTGACTGCGTAATAAATAATTTGATTTCAATTACCTAAATATGTCAAAACTTAATATTAGTAACATGTTAGAACATAATGTCATTTCAACGGTATTTTATGAGCTCCCTCAGTGTCATTCATTAATTCTGCATCCTGCAATGTCAATTTTTATATAATATTTATTACTACTAGATAAATAAATATTCAAGTATGAGCGTCGTTATCAAAGACCATTCCTTTGACCGGCTGTTCAAATAAATTTGCCAATAAAGCCTATCAAGCTACTCATCAGCTTGCGGAAATCGAAAGGGGATGAGTCTGCAAGAAAGAAAAAATTATGACTATCAATCTCTGGTGACATACGGAGAAATATACGACTGTGTCCCATATGACTGATTTTTTTTACCAGTTTCTAGGATTCAATAATCCCTTACCGCATCGCGTGAAGGACATTACAAAAACTTTCATATTGCAGCCAACATACAGTCTGAAAACTAATTACCTCAGATGCAAACAAAAAGCATGATTTTAGTAGTGTTTAGAACGAAAACTGTTGATGTTTTTTTTTCTTGTGCCCATGGTAGAGATAAATTGACTGTGCTGTTGCACCACTGCAAAGCAATTAAGGTGCTATAATAATATAGGAAATATTTTTATGGCAGAGATTGAATTATTTAATATTTTTAAATGGTAAATAACACTGACTTAACAACAATGCGTATTATCACCCTGAGGATAAGGGCTTTTCTAAACAATATCATAACAATCCACCAGGCTCATATCGACCAAAGTTGGTTCAAAGAGCATTATATTGATTTCAGTTAACTTCCTTGCCAGCCTAACCTACAAATCTCAATTCAAGTAACTTTTTAGGCTTTTAACGTGAGTACTCATGTTTGTATTAAATAATTTATTTGGACTATCACCACTCTATGTTAATTTGTTTAATGCACAAGCCGTCGGCTCAATAACCTAAACCTTTTACAGGTACGAGACGTTTAGTAAACGTTTTTATTAAATGATCATGGCGGTCAGCGGAAAGTATTGTGCAAGATTTGTGCCACTGCGAACGCTCAGTTGCTAGTGCGTTATAATTGAGACAGTCATCCTCGTTATACGACTTAAATCTGAACAAAGCTCTTATGGCAGAGAGTGCTGCTTATTTGCTGCCTTCCCTCTCCTCAGTAGTTTATAATTACAAATCGTAAACCTAAGACCTCTGACTCAGTCGTTTAGCCCATGTACACATTACAGGTAGTTTAGATTAAAAATACCGATATCATCATCTATCGACCAAGAGCATGTCATACTTTTTTGAGGAGTGGTGTACATTCAAACAAGGCATCTTTTTGAGTTTATGTCACTTCCTGCTATTATCGGGACAGTTTGTTTGTTTTGAAGTTAAGCACAAAGCTACACAAAGGGCTATCTGTGCTCTGCCCACCACGGGTATCGAAACTCGGTTTCTATTGTTGTAAGTCCGCAGACATACCGCTGTGCCACCGGGAGGCTATCGGGACAGAAGACGACCATATCAAGTAATTGGTGAAAGTACTAATAAAGTGAACAGAAAGAATACATTACTGATATTGAATTTTAAAAGTAGCGTTATTTTCATTCCAAATACTTTGTAACATAGTTGTAGACCCCTCTTTGTCCATATTCTACACATAAAAAAATAAGTAAACCCCACTACTTATGATAATCCTGCACGTACTGCTACAGCCTCTTAGTGCTATTAAATGACAATCCTGCACGTACTGCTACAGCCTCTTAATGCTATTAAATGACAATAACATTTACTACAGAAAACAAAACAAATAGAAGATAACATTGATGATAGAGTGGACGCTTGGATGTAAGCACACCACTAAGCTAGTTTCTAAACCTTAACATATGACTATGTCTTTAATATCCTCAGAGGAAATAAACTAATGGACATTAATAGCAAGGAGAAGTTACTGCCATAATGATTACAAAAAGGTGTATTATGTTACAAATATGTTAGTTTAATTAAAGAAAAACTGTCGATGGAATTTTGAAAACAATATTAATATAGCACTGACCGTTTTCTTGTATAAAGTATAAGTCAAATGAAATATCTAGATGGTAACAACATTAAATTGTATTTCTAACAACACTGAGTTTTATTGTAATAGTTATTTCTAGCGTATGAAAAGTTTTTTTGTAATAGTTATCATTAGCGCATCAAAAGTTTTATTGTAATAGTTATTACTAACGTATCAAAAGTTTTATTGTAATAGTTATTACTAGCGTATCAAAAGTTTTATTGTAATAGTTATTACTAGCGTATCAAAAGTTTTATTGTAATAGCTATTATTAGCGCATCAAAAGTTTTATTGTAATAGTTATTTCTAACGTATCAAAAGTTTTATTGTAATAGCTATTATTTGCGCATCAAAAGTTTTATTTTAATAGTTATTACTAACGTATCAAAAGTTTTATTGTAATAGTTGTTACTAGCGTATCAAAAGTTTTATTGTAATAGTTGTTACTAGCGTATCAAAAGTTTTATTGTAAAACAACAGTTGAACTGTTGACTCTCACAGAGTTGATATGAGATACGCACCTTTTTACCAAGCAAGGTTGGTAGGTAATTTACTATGATTTTGAAACAAAGTTTCAATTCTCACATGGGTCATCATATTCTGAGCTAATAACTAGTTGGTTCACAATGAACAATTCACGTTGATGTAAAGTTTTTACCAATAAATCTTACTAGCTATTGTTTACATTTAAATTCAATTTTGAACAATAATTCGCTAAGAATCCACGTATTTAAAGCTACAAACTTGTGTTATAAATAAACACTTTTATAATTCAAATGGTAATCAGTCATTCATTAAGTACCTATGTAATTCAAGTCTGGAAACCTATGTTTTATAAAACACGGAAATTGAAATGCTAATCAGACATTCATTTGGTATCCATGTAGATCAAGTCTGAAAACCTGTGTTATAAAAACGCAGACATTCAAATGGTAATCAGACATTCATTGGTTACTCATTTTGTTGATATCTGGAAATGTTATAAAAACGCAGAAATTCGAATGTTAACTAGTCATTAATCATAAGGAATCCACATAGCTCAAGTTTGGAAATCTGTGTTATAAAAAAACACATTTTTGAAGAAAATACACGCATACATACTTATCGTAATTGTCTAGAATTTTACGATCCTAAACTGATACTAAACAGCAAAAAAATGAATCTATATTCCTTGAATATTGTAGGTTATGCTTTTTTGATCTTAAAATAATAAGTAAGGGATTTGGGATTCTGAGCTCTTTACCAAAGAGAAAATGCATTTATATTGGAATTCAACGATAAACTGCTAAAAAAATGCAATAGAATATATTACGAAAGTAACAAACATGAATGCAAATATCTGCGTTGGTATAAAACACATTTTGGACCTGAATTATCATATTCTATAGAGTCATTAACTAACATTAAAATTAAGTCCAAAAAATACAAGCTTTATCAAATAATTTTACTTTCAGTACGTCCAATAACTTGTTTGTTTGTTTTTCGAGTTTATTTGAGAATATAGGAAACAAATATGATGTATTAAGCAAGCCCAGTATTAACTGGTACAGAGGCAAAACCATTATATCAGTAGCGAAAGGTCTATGGTAAAATTAGAAATATTGTTCCTATTTTCCTGTAGCCTGGCATGGCCTGGTGGTTAGGGATCTCGACTTGCAGTTTTGAATTCCGTTCCTGAACATGCTTGCCTTTTCAGTCATGGGGGCGTTATAATGTTGCAGTCAATCCCTATATTCATTGGTAAAAAGTAGCTCAAGGTGGGTGGTGTTAACTAACTAAATTCCCTGTAGTCTATCATTTCAAAATTAGGGACGACTACCGCAGATATCTCTCGAGTAGCTTTGTGCGAATTTAAACAAAACAAACAAACAAACTTTTTCCTCTACATTTGTTTTAGAAGGTAAAATGGAAAATACAGATACAAATTGGAATAAGTCCTTTACTTGATTGGGATATATCCTGTGTCTTAAGACACTTAATAACGCTATGAAGACCTTCTTTTATTGGAACGTGAGGAAAAGCATTGATATTAACGGATCCATCAGCGACATCTGGTAGCGTTCTGAACATTCCTGGAATAGCGTTGTACAAGGGTTTTGTTAACGAAACATTTGTCACAGTTGCTGGAAATACTTGTCTCGAAATCTGCTCATGCCCCCAAACTTTCCAGAACTCTTTAACCACAGGTTCGATTCCGGGACTCTGTAATGAAATCCCACAATGTTTTGTTATTATTTTTTTTCAGAAACACAAAATATATAAAATATATGTTTTATCGCTTGTTTTGGGTTGATTATTAGTTTTAGATCTACAATGAAACGCGTTCAAAGTTCAAGTGTGAGACAACTTGAATTAAATTCGATGACGAGGAACCCACTTTGAGACTAATAATAGTTGGAGACGGCTTGAATTGGTAATGAAGAAAAAAACTCAAAACTAAGTTTAACATAATAGCAAATGTACAACGTTTTGTCATCATCAGGTACCTGAAACTATGTACATATTATGTTATGTTAAACTTATATTAAAGTTTTTCTTCATTACCCATTCAAGCCGTCTCCAAACTTGAATTACATTAACCAAAAGTTTAGATTTTTAGATTTTAGGGTTTAGATTAACTAAAATATAATAAAAGAGCAATTAAAAGAAATTGTGAAATGTTCAATCCTTTACTTAAAAATACCGATAACAACGGTTCCCAAACCATGGGTCGTAAGGAGTTTCGGGTTTTGTTACAGATCAAGACACAACAAGACTTAAACATATTTTTACTTTAAAACTATTTACAGATAACGAACCTAAAATGATTTTACATGAACACAAAAACGCACTACTAGACTTTACTAAAATATCTTACAACAGTAAACCCTCTCTCCCATTTCTGCATGGGTCCTAGAAAATTGTCTGATTACTCAGTTGGGTCGTGGGTTGAGAAAATTTGGGAACATCTACCCTACAACAAATTATACAAATAGAAAACTTGTAATTAGATGCACTTGCGCATGGTCCCCGAAAGAATTCTGTTTCAAGGTAAATAAAACCAAAACTAAGAGTAACAAATATTTTTATTTGAATTCCGTATGTCATGCTGTGTTGTAGCCTACAGAGTGCGTAATTCTTCTCGTTATTCATGACGTTTTACTGACATCACGACAGTGCAAACTGTAACGTTAAGCGTCCCTTATGTAATATCATTTTAGTGTCTAGTGACTGACTGAAGGACAGATTACGGCTCGTCTTTTTTCGATATCTTCAAATACCTAAACTTTTAGAAATAAGCTATTTTGATACTTGTAGAAAATAACCAATATTTGTGTAAAGCTATTCACATTATCAACAGTTTTTTTTGTTTTTTTTGTATGTCGTAAGTTATGATTTCAAAACGATGAAGAACTATTGTCCAAAACGTTGCTTTCGTACTCATTAATAAATTTATTTTAATTTGACGAGTGTTACACCATTATTTGTAATTTCTTCGCCCACGCAATGCTTTTATTACCATAACACAGGATTTTAACATGACGTTTAATGATGTAAGAGGCAACTATTTTAGTAAGAAAAATTAGTTTTACTTGCAATAAAAATAAGTTTCGACCCATAGTAACAGGTCATCTTCAGTACATGGCAAGCTCAAATTAGAAACTGTTGGTTTGGAATTAAGCACAACGCTACACAATGGGCTATCTGTGCTCTGCCCACCACGGGTATCGAAACCCGGTTTCTAGCGTTGTAAGTCCGCAGACATACCGCTGTGCCACTGGGGGGGCCAAATTAGAAACGATATGTATATAAGTGTGTAGTTAATAAAAAAATTATAGGTGGCGTCAAAATATAAATTAGTGAGTAAATGTATTTTTGACAAAAACAAAAGGTAGGGAAAATACATAAATATATTTAATAAAGATAAAGAGTATTTCTTAGATATTTATTTAATGCTGGTTTCAGGTTGTTAAGATATTTTTCGTGTGTTGATATTAGGGTCTGATACGATATGTTTACTTTCACTCTGATGTTTATTTCTCGTCCAATGTCGCCCCTCAGTGACACAGCGGTAATTCTGCAGACTTATAACATTAGAAACCTGGTTAGATACCCGTAGTGGGCACAGTCTAGATAACCCATTGTGTACCTTTGTGCTTAACTACAAACATAACCTTCCATTGTCTCCTATATAAAAACGGTTTCAAGAATTGTATTTGATTTCATGTACGTCCTTATAGTTTTTGTTTGTTTGTTTGTTTG